TGTAATCTAGCATCCTGTTGGCTTGCTTTGCCTCTGCAGCACACTGCTTGCTCATATTGAGCTTGTCGTCCACCAGGACCCCCAGGTCTCTTTCCACAGAGCTGCTCCCTAGCTAGGTAAGATCCCAGTCTGTGCTGCACTCCTTGCACCTGGGAAAACATAATCCAGACCTTACTCCTGTCCTTGAACTTTCATAAGGTTACTGTTAGGTTGCTCTTTCAGACTTTCCATGTCTTCCTGCAGGGTGGCTCTCCATTCCGAAGTATCCACTTCCCCACTCAGTTTGGTGGTATCAGAAAACTTCATCAGGGTACACTTGTTCCCATCATCCACGTCACTTAAGACATTAAACAGTGTTGGACCCTGTCAACTGGGTATGACACTTAGCCTTGTCTCTGACACTTTCTGCAAACATGACTACAGGAGGCAGCATTTTATTTGCTTTTATGAGCTCTCTTCTGACCTTTGCAGGCAGTTGAGCAAAATATGAATGTTCACACAAACCATTTTTTATTTCAACAGCACTGAGAGAAAATAACAAGAAACGTTAGCTATCATGTTTTAGACCAAATGCAAGATAGATTTATTGAGGGGGGTGCAGGGAAACTGTAGCTGCCTTTTCCCTTAAATGTTACTCAGGATGGGGTGTGCCCACTGTCATACGAGATGTCCCTTCTGCCTACCCATGCCTGTTGGAGCTCTGAATTTAAGCTGTGGTAAATGGTATTTTTAGACAATGGATGACATATGTTGGAACACATTAATATTAAAAATATGAATACTTTGATTTTGCCCTTGAATTTTCAAAGGGTTTTGGTGTAGATCTGTTTATTGTAGCTTCCAGGTGGCAGTTCACAAGAGATCTGTGCAGACCTGTAAACATTCTGCTGCCCAACTTGCTAGTTGGGCATAGGAACAATTTGTTTTTAAGGTAGGTTAAACACAGAAGATCAGTCACACTGATCCAAGCAAACTTGATGGTTCAGGATCATCTTTAGACACAATGAGTGCTGAGACAGAAAAAAAAAATGCCAAGATCAGGTATTTTTGAGACCACACAGCTGGCTCCTTCTAGAAGCTTTTGGTCATTCTGTGCAGGTCGTCCACAGCAGACAGCTGTTAGACTGCTTTCCTTATTTCCGGACTCTGTTATCTTTTCAGTGTCTGCTCATTGGTAGCAGCATATGTCCACTTTGCATTTTTCCTACTTGGAAATTTATGTCTGTTCAAGATAGAAAGCTTAAAAAAAGTATCCTTCAGGCTTAGAAATTAGAAGGTTCCTTAAGCACATTAGTCCTGGGTTCTGGGATATATAGTTTAGATTATTTATAAGAGTAATTTTAAAAGCGCTCAAAAATAATTCGAAAAACATTTAAGTGATCTAGGAAAGGGGTTGTGCTGACTAGTCTTACAGGTAACCTCCTCTCTTACCAGAGGCATATGACTGTAATGCATTTCAGTGGAGTTGGTCTCTTCAGTATGGCAAAATAGCAAGAATATTAAGTCCATTATGAAGAAATACAATTTTAATCTACTAGTTATGCCAAATTTTAGGGGTGATAAACAAATATTTTTCTAATAGACTGTTGTACATGGGAAGAACAAACCAGCAATGGCCAATGCAATCTCCAACCCTAATATATTTTGTGATTGAATCTTCAGTACTGGATTTTCACTAGAGGCAATTTTGTATTTTGCTTACTAAAAATATCTGAGGGATTTGATGTGATCCGTGTAGCAGAACAGTATATAAATTTCCTAAAGGCCTGGGGATAATGTTCTGCTGATGCTGCTGTTAGACAATATGCATAAAGGCGCATCTGCCATGGCTCTTTCCCCGGCCTGTGGCTCTAATGCTGCAGGGATGGAATAACAGCATTTCTTAGTGCAGTGCTGCTGTAAAAAAACCTCCTAGGCAAGGAGATGGTTGGTGGGGGGGACAGGGACACATCTGTAAGGTGTCCAGTTGCACAGCACTCCGGCAGTGAGCCTGGTGCCAGATCCATTGCTTCGGGTGGGTTTGATCATCTCTTCCACATGGCTGGGTTTGTCTTGGTGCACTGGGGCAGAAGGGTCCATGCAGGGCTCCCATGTGTTCGGGTACCCCAGCATGTGCAGTTCCTGAGACTCCGGCCTTGTGCTTGGGACTCCTGGATGTCCTGCAGCCAGAGCAGGATTAGGTAGGCCATCGATTCACACGTGGCTTAGTTGTAAGCACAGAATGGACACCAGAATTTGGCCTCAAGCAATAAAAGCTTATGCAGCAGTGACATGTCTTCATCCTGTCTCAGTTTTATATGGCTTCTTTGTTCTCAAGTGGTTTGCTTTGTGGCAGGAGTGTTAGGCTTTGTTTCTTCTCTAGTGCTGATAAGGTGAATCAGGCTCTCTGTGACTTCTTACCCTCCTTAATTTTCTGCCTGTTTGTGTCCTTCATTTCCAGATGAAAATTTCAGTATCAAACAGGGAGGAGTTTAAGGTGACAGGTGCTACCTCCTTCCTGCTTTCTGTGAGACAGCCCTCCTTTACTTCCCTGCAGAGGAGCACCCACTCTCTGCCTGGTGCTTGCCATGAGGGCAGACAGGTTGTTCCTTTTCACACTACAACACTTCATTAAATTCTTCTATTAAAAACCTGGTCTGTGAAGTGGCAGCTGGCCTCTCGCTCCAGCGGTAGGTGGCCAGTGGGATGGGCTGCTGGGCCAGCTGCTGCCCAGAGGGCTCACAAGGGGGCATCATGGGCAAGGAGGAGGTAGATTTCAGTGCAGGCTATGGACTTTTGGGTGCCCTGGTTTTCTCTGTAATGAGGTGAATTTTATCCTTAGGGCCTCTGTCTGCCCCTTCCTTCTGAAGGTAAAAAGTAATAACTGTATCTGTTCCCACTGTGTTTTGGTGAAAAACAGAAGATGGAGGAAAATGAAGTGATTACTTTGGCATGGAGACCTACAGTTCATTTTGCTTGAGTCCTGTTTTTACTGTAAGGGTTCTTTGGCTTCAGTAGAATATATTTATTACAATTAATTATGTTTAAATAGGCCATGTGGTACTTGGAATGGAAGGGGGCACACTATGCTGTGAGGATGGAAAACTATGGCAGCATTTCCTGGGCAGTAAATTTCTGACACATCTCAGGATGAGAGGATCCAGCTGACACCCTGGCTATTGAGAGTTTGGGAATGTGACTTACTCCTATAAGCAACACTGAATTTGACCCATGATGGGGCCAAGCTTGCCTCCCCAGATTTAACTATTTTTATTAGTCATACACAGATTGATCATTTTACCTTGACGCAGTACTTGGAGACCTGTAATTACAAGTGAGTGCTTAGAGCGTTGGTAGTTTTGGAGAGTAATGCATGTGGGTTTTTTGCAGGCAATAAAATGGAAAATCCAATTTGCAATTGCAAAGCAAGCCCCTGAGTGATACATGATCTTCGTAGCCGCACTGGTCAGAGGGTTACGGCTAATCACAGCGCTGGCTTGCTTCCCCGGTGGCCTGTGCCTGAAAACTGAATAGTGAGCAGCACGAGCCTGTGCCTTGAGCCAACCAGCATAGATTTAGACTCACCAGTTTCTAGCTTATTAGGTCCTCTTTGTCACAGTACTTAATCCTGCTTCCTGATCCTTGTTAGAACAGGGCTGCCGAGTCCCTTAATAAAGGAGATGGGTGCGAGGCTCCTAACGAGGCGCACTGAAGCGTGAGGCAGCGAGGGCAATTGCTGCCTGACTGACAGAGGGGTGAAATGCTCCCTGCCTGTTGTTATTTCAAAAGAACAGGCCTCAGACAGCTGACAAATGAGCTTGCTAAGGTAATGGTAACTTGTTGATAGGCTGATATGAGATGCGTGACATCTTTTCACACAGTATAATGGTCTGTCTTTAATTGTGTTAACCCTTTCTACGGACAGCAACGTGTCAAGGATTAGCTGTAGTGTAGAGTGTGCACTGAAATGCCCAGTAAGCACACTGCTTGCAGCAGCTCCTATAGTATGCATGTGTGTTCATGCTACAAGTCCCTTTAATTTTAAAAAAACAGCACATCAGGTTGTTTTCAGAATTTTCTGACAGCTTAGCTCAGTCAGTCTTCAAAACTTTGTAATTTTTTTGGGCTGTTTCCCATAGTTAAAGATTTAATTTTTTTTTTGTTTCTTTATTACTTTAGATTTTGTGGGGGATGGTAGGCCTCTCTTCATTGTAAAATTCACAAAAATAAATCTAAAATGATAGCACAGATTTCTTAATTTAAAGAACACAAAATATTTCAATGACTAGACTGTTATGGAATTCAGCCTGTTTTATCCATAGTCATGAGGATTTTCAGCAGAGCATGTACCGTTTTGGTTTTGGGTGGGAAACATTTATAAAACAAACACACAAAAAACTCAAGCAAACCCCTAAAAGGTCTCTTAAGTCTTCCTGTCAACAGAATAGGTAAAACTTGCATTTTCCAAGAATGACGTTCTTTTTTTTTTTTTTTCTCAGTATAGAGAACTACAACCACGGATCAGTGATAGGATCTTGGTACAAACAAGATGCTGGGCACTGGGAAGGCAAAAAGCATGTAGAGCATCATTTGTTGACGTTATGCTTGGAGCAGTGTTTGAGAAATGCTTTGCAATGCTAAGCTTCAGCAGAGCAAACTCCTACCACAGTGTCATTCTCCCTTCATTTCTGCAAGCTATGATGGAGAGAGCCCAACACCTTTGCATTATTAAGCCCTGCTTAAAATTAATTTCATGAATAAATATTTTAAGCAGTGGGCTGAGTTCCATCCTGCTGTGCAATATTGTAGTAGCACTGAAATATATAGGGTGGAACTGCATCCATCATGGTGGGAACCACTATGTCCTCCTGTTCTTCTTAGCTAAGACTGAAATATTTGGGTTTATTATGGTTGTACTTTCTGAAATTAATGAAAAGTTTCATATTCACAGCAAGATATTTCTTTTAAAATTTTGATATTTCAAGGTTTTTTCATATGCTGTTTTGTTTAATCTCTTTCAGGTAATTTGGATTTGACTGGTCAAAAGCAAGTCTTCAAAGCAGAGAACAATCCTTGGGTTACCCCTATTGCTGACCAGTTCCAGCTGGGAGTATCTCATGTTTTTGAGTACATTCGTTCAGAAACATATAAATAGTAAGTATCACTTATATAGTGTAGCTGTGTTGATTTTTTTTTTTTTTTTTTTTCCCCCCCCGTAGTGTATTTGACAAAGAGTTATCAGCTATGTCCATCTTTCATAATCCATGCAGTAGCTTGGTATTCAGGGCAAATATGCAAACCTGTACATTTATATTAAGAAATTTTGCTGACAAGAAGGTAAATAAATGTAGTTTGGACATGTTAGGAAAGCACAGAGACTGTTTGATATTGTCCTACATTTGTTAATTTCTAAAAGCTATTAAGTAACATGAGAGATGTAAAAAAGCAAGCATTACAAACCATTGAGAAGTACTAATTTTAAGTATGTACAGTAAGGTTTTCTAGATGGAAATAGTGATTTATTAATGGTTTTGGATGCAGGTTGTTATGCTTTGAAAGAGATATCCAGAATTCAAACCTGTTTTGATCTGGACTGGTTTACAAAAGTCTACGAAACTGGTAATTCAAATACAGATACTACTACTTTTGTCAGCAGTATAACTGGAAAAAAATAAACCTCATGCTGGCACTTCTTCATTTTAATTCAAAATTCTATGTACAAATGCTTGTTTAGGAAATACTGTCTGTAATCATTCACTGAATTGAAATACATCTTTTCAGTAAAAAATTCCATGTTACCAGTCTACAGTAAAACTTTAGATGGGAATTTATTTTTACATGTCTGACAACAACTGTGATGTTGTCTTCTTGGAAACAATAGGTAGTAGAACATGTAGTACAACCTCTAGGTTAGAAAGTTAGTTTTTGCATTTCCCCTTTATTTAAAAAATATATTTTAATAATTTAAAAGCATTTCTGACTTTTTTTTAATGCGGCTGCTGTCCGAACTCAATTACCAAAGAATATTCACAAGTGAAGGTTTGGGGATTCCAATTAAGTAACTGAGATGTAAATTTCTATATGAAACTAAATGATCCAGAAATGTCTTTTGTAGACTGTTCTTCATTTATAGAATTTAAGTGAAAAGGATCACAAATGGAAGAGTGGTTACAAAAATTGTGTGTCTGTCTCTGAAGTGTCCTGATATTTATGCTGTAATATGTGTTCTCAGGATTTAGGTAGGCTGCAACACCCTTCCTCCAGTAGTACAATACACTACAGACGTGGTGTAGGGAAACCGCTGCCTGTCTCCTTAGACCATCCCTTCCCCACAGTCCATTATGAAGCTGCATCTAGATTTCTTGATAATGTTTTGTAGGTTTTTTTATTGACAATTTTATATTTCTGTTTGCTGAGCTACGTAAGTTAAGGACCCTCATGCATTTCTCAGAGGGACAGCTCTGGACACCATGAGGACAGCAAAGTTTCAAGGACTGAGGCACAGTTTCAAGAATTTGACCCATATTCAGTTTGGGGGGTTGAGGGCTGTTGTTATGTATCTATAATTAAAAAAAAATTATAGCTGTGGATATATTAACTGTTCTGGCAACTTTCCCTGTGCAATCAAAATTGATATAAAAGGTTCTATAATTTGTCACTTGCCTCAACTTTTGCTCTTTGTTTTAAATTAGCCATATTATGTTTGCTGTCTTGTTCTTTGCTGCAGTGTAACAGTGTTGTCTTGGCTAATAGGCTGATTTTGATTTTGTCCACAGTAAATATTTGAAGCCTGTATAGTTAACAGTGTAAGCAAAATCAGACTCTACCTGTTAAGGGGGGGGGCGGGGAATTAAAGAATCTTTCTATGGCTCATTCATGGCTTCTATTTTGCTATTAGAAGCTTATTCAGTTAAAATGTTATTATTTTCAAAGATTACTGATGAAAACCAAATGCATGCAGATGTTAACAATTAGATGTCTTTTATATTCAGTATATAACCATTTTATTTTTAAAACATAAATTAAAACTATCTGTATAATTGTGTTAGAATCCGGGTAGCAGCTTCTTTTGATTCTTGATTTTACTCGTTTCACATGCTATAAATAGAGTTTGTGGATTTTTGTGCTGAACAAGATTGTCCTTTTTGTTTTCAGTTTCCTTTAAATATGTGATCTGAGAATTACTTGGATGCCACCTGCTACAGACATTTTTCTGTTTGCATTTGATTTTAGGTGTTAAAACTTATACGCAATGGCATAATCTAGGTAACAGGTCTAGTAGCATTATTGTGCACAAAAGCAGATAAGCTGTGAACACAGAAGAAATGAAAACTCCACTTTGTGATTAAATTTTTCTTTTTCCCACTAACAACTATACACCACCTTCAACTTCCCGTTTCTTTCAGAGCCTGTATTGAGGTACTCTGTCTTTTTTCTCATTAGGCAAATCACAAGGTTGAGATGTGAATATAGTAATTTTCTCTGTAGATATCTAGCTAAGCAAAATTGAGCTCTTGGGAGGTTTTTTTGATCATTCAGCCAAAAGAAAAATTTAAAAATTAACTTGCGACATTTGATAGACCCAGCCAGCTTAACTTTTATTCTGAGATAGAGCAGTACAGTTAAATGGATAACTGGAGAGAATGCTGTTTAGATAACCTCACTTGCAACACTGAGAAGAGCTCACATATGCTAGCAGCTGACAATCAGATCAGTCAGTTTACTTTCAGGTACTTTCATAAACCAGGAGCTATGCATCTATATGGTAGATAGATTTTGAGCTCCAGAGATGGTAACTGTCTCCCTATACCCATTACTTTTGCTGGCTGATTGGAAATACTGATTTTACTTTGTTTACAAGTCTAACATTGTCAATAATAGCTAAGGCAGAGAGGGTACGGTCATACGATCACAGGTGCCAAGTTTCAGGGGTTAGCAAGTTATATTTCACTAGGTGGGTTTATGGTAATACAATTTGTGTTGGTGATGACTAGAACAACATATTTACTCAGTTGCTGTTATCTTAGCCAGAAAGTGGTAACTCAGTAAGTGTTGGCAATGCACTTGCTTGTGGTCATGTTACTAAACCTTAAGGTTTCTACTTATGGCTGACACAAGCCATAACTCTACACTGTGGTCAATATAGGAGATTACCACTCAGTTTCTGTGAGGTTGCACTTGTGAAGTGACTACCAAATAGATCACAAACCTCTTCTTTCCTTTGTGAAATGTACTGGCTGTTTCAAGCATATTTAGTGAAAAATTACACCCCATTTTTAGCCTTGTCTTAGGATATTCATCCTCTAGTGATTAATTGGTAAGTAGGAATGACACCCGTGAGGGATGATTATGTCTACAGATAAAATGTCATTTGTCTTGCATACTTTTACATTTTCAAACTTTTGTTTTACATGATACTCACGCACCAAGTATAGAAGTGGAATTGCACTTACTTCAGAAGCATGTTAGCCGGTTGGACCCTCAGATCAGCTCTTCTTACTTTGTAGATGCTTTCATTTCCTTTAATTTCCTTACCTTTCATGAGAAATAATGCCAGGTGATTTTTTCCAACACTCATTTTTCAAGGAAGACTTGTGCTGACAAAAAGATGGGCCATATATTGTGGCAGAAAATGTGTGTGGAGGGGCTCTTAATTCTTAACAGGAAATTCAGCAGCTCTTGGCACTTTGCTAGCTTTTGTTGGCTAAAATACACCCACTGCACATATCATCCTGTGACAGCATCGTTTGGAAACAGGTCAGTTTGCCACGTATATAATGATTCTTAATCTCTGCTGTACTAACTTTCTGAAAGTTAGTAAGCTGAATTTTGGCTTTGATTTTATATATACTCAGAAGGTGCCATTAAACTCACTGTGTGGTGTCACGATAGTGTTGAAAAGTAGTTGAAGCACTTGCTGAAGCAGTTAAGGGTAATGGCAACCTCATCTCCTCAAAGGGCTTAACTAAATGTTTTATTTTTTATTCATGCCTTTAGTCAATTTTCAAAGTGACCTTTATGTTATAAGCATATTCTCAGAGGATCTTCTCTGTCTAGGGTACTGACAAAGAGATGATGGATTGTATGATTTAGTGGTTACAGTGTACTTAGACAAGTACAGACAGACATGAATGTTTGAACAAAAACAGTGAATTAAGTTCTTATGAAGAACGGAAATCCTGTGATGCTCATCAGAATTGGTGCAAGGTAATTACTGATTTGATTAAGATGAGGTAAAGCTGAGATATGCAATTGGTATCAGTGGGTGGGTATGGTTGCTGGCATTTACAGCAAAGTTAATCCAGAAAGCTGCTCTTTAGGTACGTTTCTAGCGTTAATCATGTACTCTTGATCAATCTTCATGTGAAACTTGCTCTTTGCCTGTTTGTTCTTGTAACAGAAAGGGTAGTGATTTTGCTTTTATCACAGCAGTCTATTGCAGTCATCATCACCTGATAGTGTAATCTTAGCTAAAACAAAATAATTTGCTGTGTCCTGAGTGCTTAGAATAGCTTTCAGACTTCTAGCATTTTGAAGCTGCCATTGAACCCAGCAATCACCTTTTAACACTTTATTTAATGATTGTTGTCTTCCTGTTTGACCTCCTTATTCCTGTGAGGCAGAATTATGATAGAACAGTTACCATTTGCTAAGTTTCTAGAAAACAGGTTTTCCCTATGAGACTGTCAGTTTGCAGTCAAGAGTCTCAAGATGTTTTTGAAAGGAAGTTGCGCTTTTCACATTTCCATCAGGAAAGGTGGTAGAAGAGCAAGCCATCTTAAAGACTGACACATTAACTCTTAGCAGAGGAAATGGTTTGCTAAATGCTATGCTGACCATATATCGCTTGGCAGCATTGGAACATAGGTTTCCCTGGGCAGGCGGCTCTGTGCTAAGCATTGTAATTGAAAACCTCATTTTATCGGCAGTGACAATCTGGAAAAATCCACTCTTGAATCAGTCCTCTATTTAAAGACAATCTCCCCAGCTTTCCTCTTGAGAATGAATTGTTGTACTGGACCCCCACTATTATGTAGCAGCTGCTTCCAGGGCAGCAGACACGGGTCATGAAGTAAGAGATTCTTCTTCTGGATTGTATTAATTAAGAGTATTTCAGCATTTATTTTTAACAACTAGAGGAGACTGGCAAGATA